TAAGGAAAGATGTCGAATTATTCCTTTTATATGAAACCATGGATTCAACAACCGGTAAGTGTATTACTGCTGCTTAGGAAATTGCCCCCCACCCCCACCCCATGGGTGCACCAAACAAATTTAAGAAGAAAAAGATAGAAGTGCGCACATTATGGGATATTTGGATTATCAGGCGCACACGAAACACACAAAACATATTACGCCGCAACACACTTTACTATCGTGCATAATTCTTGAACGATGCATCCTAGTTGCCTTAAACCCAGTTGTCTGTGTCCCTATAAGGGATACGCGGTGAACTAGCAAGAGGATGTGGTGGATATACAAAGGAGCATGCGGCGAGGGGATACGCGGAGAATGTGTGAGGGAGATGTGACGGGGAGTATGTAAGGAAACATGCGAGGGTCAGATGAAGCGAAAAATTCAGTGAAGAGTTTGTTCTTCTTGTGACTCTATCGCCAGAGCAGGGTGGGCGGAAACGGACAGAAACTCAAAATGTACGTGAAGTTAATTTAACACGTTACTCGTAAAGGCTCGTCATGACAGGCCTACAACACTTCAATGTGCAGTACAGGTTCGGCCCTGAAGTTGGATCCGCTGTGATGCTATTTTCATTTCCAATAATGTACAAGATGCGGAATGTTCGCACTGGTCCAACAAGTAATATACTATTTTATTTCTAGAGACTCGTGGAACATTCTGCGTTTCGTAAGTATTTGTAAGTGAAAATAGCTTCATTACGAAATCCAACTTCGAATGGCCAAGCCCTGATCAGTGCGTTGCGTTACATCTTTCGTAATAATGATACTAATGCATTAGGTGCTACCTTTGTATCGGCTATTTTCAAAGGGCTGAAGACGCATCTACCGAATTTATGTTATCACAGGCTAAGTCAAAGACTCCCATCTCCATCAGGCATTTTCAGTGTTCCTTGATCCATTGAGTAAATGCTGAAGATGTTCCCTTGATTTACTAAATGTGGATTTTGTTCTTCATAAAAATCACATAAACATGTCTTTACTGTTTTTATTCAAAATAAATAGGCTCTGTGTAATGAATCTGGTTTAACATTCAAATTTTTACAAGCGTTTATTAGCAAACAAATCTGGACCATCAAATAGCCAACTCAATGTTACAGAGATTTCTAGGTTCTGCTTGTCTCTAACCCCTTATTGCAAAGGAAGATACCGAGAAGCTAGTCTAGATACGGAGGTACCCACAAGTGCTCAAACTTCAAAAATGTAAAAGTCAATACAAAAGGTATTTTTGTTGATTGTGGTGTAAGAAACATACCTCGATCCTCTTTGCAGGCCTTTCTTTCTTTTTCACGATTTTAAGGGTTTAGAACCCATTGATTCCAAGTTGTGTACGATAGTAACTTGTGTTGCAATCTAACGTGTGTTCCGGTTTCGTTGGTGACTGCTGTTTTCTGTATTAAAATCTACTCAATTCTTCATTTTACACCGTACGCTCTGATGAACCGCTGAGAATAATTTCCTATCCAGCAATACCACGTTTTCGAGGGTTTATGTCGACGGCATCTTATCAGTGGAACCAGACGGCATCTTTCCTTAGTATAATGTAGACGTGATAGTGTACGTATATTATAAGAATAAGAAACGGGACAAGAAATGATGAAACTTTGTACAGAAGTAAATGATCAAATATTAAATAATTATGCTAAAATATAAACGATATGCAATTACGACAAGAGAGTTCTGATTCAATTGAGGTCTAAAAATGTAGTTACAAGTATTTATGAATTTTATATAATAATCAAGTAACACATGCTTAACGAATTACACGAACATAAATAAATTAAATACGAGCTTATCAAGAAATTCGAATTACCTTGTTTCCATAGGAATCATGAAGATTCTTGATTTTTTCGATTATTTTTCTGTGTACTACACGCTAATCTAAATACTTCCTCTACTTCTTACGCACTGAACCTTTCGAATCCATCTTCAGTAAAATTCTATTTCCCCCACGCACGGGGGGAATGGCCGGGATGATCCCGTGGCCTAAACGCCGGGAGCTCCGCGAGCATTAACTATTCGCGCGACGTGTTCGGTAATTAATAGGGGAAAATGTGTTGAAGTGCGGCGCGGCGCGGCGCGGCGCGAGTGCGGGGCGTGAGTGCGGAGGACGTGATAAAGCGGCGGAGCGGAGCCCGGCGCGACGCGACGCGGCGCGGCGCGGCGCACAGACGTCGGGCGAACGGGAGGCGCCGCGCGCGGAGTGGAGAGAAGCGGGGCGGGGCGGGGCGGGGCGGGGCAGCGACGTGCGCGTCTGCATTAAGCGCAATCTGAAAGGCTAACTGAAATGCCTCATCAGCATGCATAAATGACCACGAATACAAAATGTCGCGCGCGGCGCCGCCCGAGGGTGCATGTCATTAGAAGAGGCGGGCGCGCGCCTCCGCCACCCCACGGGCCCCCGCGGCCCCCAGCCCCGCCACAATGGAGGCGGTGGGGGTGGATGAAACTGTCCAGCGGTGACGAGAGAAACAAGGCGTTGATAGCGAAGGTGCGGTCAGGTACAGTGGAACCTCGGGAACTCGAATTTCAATTGTCGAATGTTTCGGTAGCTCGAATTTTACTTCACTGACCTTCAGATTCATTACTTCACATTATTTGATAAGTCGAATATCGTTATGTCAAAATAATAGGTAACACGAACTCTGTTCCTCATAATGAAAATATCAAGATTTCAATTGACTAGAAAGTCAAGGCTTGGAAAGGATTGCAATAGAGAATTGAACAATCAGGTATGTTTGCAGGGTTACTGATGCTTTTGACACGATGCAAAAATCATGAAGATATGGTAACGGCCTTAAAATGAAGGCTGTTGGTGTGCAAGTAATGAAGACAGTTGAAAATTATGGTGGTTTAGAATTCTAATTCTAGATCTTGAGCAATAGAGGACCACGCAGTGAATAATCAACATGAAGATCGACAGTACAAGGTTATTAAAGTACTGTGTGATCCTTTCTGAAAATCCGCTGATTTCTGCACTGATCTGAATTCATTAAACTGCATACACTGATCGGTTGCAGACCACATTTCCAAAGATGTAAGGCCGCCAGACGAATTACTGCACCACATATATCACGTACTGAAAAGACAGTGATTGTTTATTTCGCTTTTCTGGGCCTAGTAGGACGGAACACAAATTGAGTGAATAGATGATAATAAACAACGGTGGGTTGAAAAGAAAAGGTGATACCCAACCCCCTAAAACCCGCTTCGTCCTGCCCAGGATGTGATCCCGTCGCCCGCAGAGAAAAAGCTAGCGCGCAGGTCGCTTCTTCAGCTTTCGTCGTCCGTAGCGCGAGCGCAGCGGTGGACTCGTCGTCGATGGCGGCGGCAGTGACGGGGGAGCGGCGGTGGCGACGGCGAGGAATAGGAATTGGAGGGGAATTGGCGCCGCCGCCCCCGTCCGCGGACGCAACCGCCCGGCTAATGTTTTTTCGAAGCGGGGCGATTTCAAAGGGCGATTCTTGAGGTAATCGATGGACGCCACGGCCGAATGAACGCGGCTTTTCACGTGGGAGAACTTGGATTTGGCCCGCTCGTCATTGTGCGCGGAATGAGCATTCATTGGCGTCGTCGCCGCACTTGCGTCGCCATCACAAGGCGACGCACTGGGGCACTGATGAGAGGGATTTTTCGTAATTTCTCCTCTCTAAATAACGCGCGGGGAAAAATGTATTTATGTCCGGTCAGAGAAAAAAGGGCCGGCTTGTAACGTGTTCGAACTATTCTACTGAAAAGGGTGCCGATCAGTGGAAGGTGCCTCTATGTGAGGAGACTAAAAGGTAGTGGAAGGTACAAAAATGTTGAGGATCCTTATTGCTCGTACATTGTAAGGGCTTCTCCCTGTTTTTTATTCTTTAATTCATTTCTTTTATTTTTAATAAATATTACTTGAAAAAACTTGCGAGTTTATGTATTTTCATAAAATATAAATCCAAAAATCATTCCTCGCAACATTATAAGAGTAATTTTTGAACGATTGCATACTCTTTTATTTATACTTTCCGTTAGACGGTGGTGTAATCCCAGTATTTCAATCACTTTTATAGACAATTTAAGAAGTACTTTCGGCAGAGAAGGTAATGAAATAGACAAGAATGTTATAGTATGTATTACAAGAGCGCTACAAATATTATAGAATTTATTGCAGAGTTGACATTTAAATGTTTCAAAAAATAGTAACAATAATTTGCCGGAACGAAGATAAAAAAAGTTAAAGACTACACCTTTTCGTTGCAGAATAGTTGGACTTGATGTTAAAAGTCTGAAAATATGTCTGTTGGGAAACAGAAAATGGTTTTAGCAAATTGTACATGAATTGATCGTGTTTATAATAACGTTGGGGGTTTTCTGTTCCGTTTGACGGAATAAAAATTAAAATAAGTTATATATGTTTAATATATAAATAAGAGTGATAAAAATTGACAGTTGCCTGACGTTTCGTTTGAAATTACAGAACTTGAAGTTTGAAGTTCTCATATGAGTTAATAACAGATAACCAACAAATTGTCTCCTGAACACATCGGATGTCTTCTATTCATGTATTGTTTGGCTTTTCAACAAGAACAAATTAAAAATATAGAATATTTCTGTTTATATAAATAGAATGACTATCGTATAAGTTTCAGCCAAAATCGTTCTTGAGCCCGTGCTGTTTTCTTTCTGCCAGTCAAGAACTTTATCGTTTAATGGATGTATAATAATCAATCAGTCCAGAGTTCGTTTCAAGTGTAATTTATGATTTCATGTTAATCTTTTTTATATTTATGTCAACGTTTCGGGATCATTTTTGATCCATCATCAGATTACACCAATTGTTGAATCTCACGAATCTTGTAATACTGTCTTGCATATGTATTGACTTTGTCTACTAAAAATTGGCTTCCATAAAAACTTTAATAATACACATAAGCAAATGCCAATATTAAAACATTATTTTAATTGAATATATTTCTGTTTCAGACCAGCCGACCATCAACCAAGCAAGTAGCAACGTGGTGGACGGCATCAACTTGGACGAGATCAAAGAGTTCGCGAAGGCGTTCAAGTTAAGACGCCTGTCGCTGGGCCTGACGCAGACGCAGGTCGGGCAGGCGCTCAGCATCACCGAGGGCCCCGCCTACAGCCAGAGTGCCATTTGCAGGTAGGTCCCCCCCCTCCAAGCAAGACATCCAAGCAATTCGCTGTTTTACGTGACGTAAGCCACTTAGAGGTGTTGTCCCTCGCCTTGGATTCCAACGTGCCCCAAACGTGCGCACTGGGGGCCGTGACAATTTCGAAAGGGTCCCCATAGACTTTCGTAATACAACATTTTTTCTTTAAATATTTTCAATTAATGACTTTCCCCATTTTAAGGTGACAATTTGGTGAACTGTTACTCATTGATACTCTCACCAAACCAGCTGGATATCCTGCAAGTAGTTTAGCATAATATCTTTCGAATGTATTAATTGTATCATTAAAGTTATAATTGCATTGTCTTTGTATTACATTTATTTATTTACTAGTAAAATATTCCACATGTAAATAAAATGATTAATGGACAAGGAGGATATGAGGGGGCTTAGAAATGAAGTTGGCTTCTTCGAATCATAGGCTTCATATTCAGCATGCCTATGACTCTAACACTAGTTTTTATTGAATGACACAGATTGCAGGAATGCTGAATACGTGTGATCTGCATTATCCTTAATGACGTATTTGTCGAGAGGGCCCACACATGAATGTAAATTATTATGGAAGTTTGTGGGTGAAATCATTCAATGGAATTCAATATTATGGAAGTATGGAAAAAGTGGGTGTAATCATTCAAGTAAAGACCATACTTCAGAAGTCACATGAGGAAGGTTGGCCAAAAATGCAATTCAATGTTCTAACAATCCCCAGGGATACAGATATTCGAAAACTTTAAAAAAAGTGTGGAAAGTTTAAGACTATAGTGCATATTTGTAACAACTTTTTTCAAATCACAAAATATTTAAATAATGTGAAATCACGGTGATAACTTCTAAAAGATTATGATTCTAGAACTTCTTCATATTAAATGTAATCTTACAAAAATATATCTCCTAAAATTTCTAAAAAAAAAATATAAGTAACAATTATTACTTAAAAAGCAAAATTAAATTAATGTATTTTTTAGATATATCTATTAATGTATTGAGTTAATTCAATATGTGGGAGTTATTTTTATGTTTGAGAGCATTGAGATTTTTAACTTCTCCCATGGTAATTATGCTCTGGTGAATGCTTTTGCTGAAGGTTAACTTGAAATTTTCATAAAATGAGGAATGATGTATAGATTAATTTCAGACCTTGGTATTACCCTTTGCTTAATGCGATATTCTGTACCATAGTTTGAAAATAAGATTGATACTTGAATGTATTTCAGAGTATTTATTTTAAAATTGTCAAGCCATTTAATTTCTTCAGCCTTTACTAATGATACATAAATGTTGATAAACCTCTTCTTTCATTTTAGCCATAGATCTAGTAGATATTTCTATTTTAATGTAAAATCATTCTTATTTCAGTGTTGATTTTTTTCAATATGATGTATTTTAGAGAGAAGAATTGTATTTTTCTTTTTAAGATTTAGACCTCAATTTACTAACAAATCAGGGAAATAATATATAGAATGTAAATAGGATTTAAATTGCAAAATTTATTTCTGCATATTAACATTTTGATATATTTTGTATTATAGTCTTTATGACTGAACATTTTGTTATTAATATTCAATACTTAAAATTTTTGAAATTCTTTTTTGTTTCTCTTTATGAGTTAATAATCAATCCTTTGAAATCTATTTCACTGACTGAAGACCTTGCTTGTGAACAGATAGAGTATCTAGGAAGGAAAGGCATATAGACAAGTTTCTTTCGTTTGAGTTCATGCCTCATAAAATACAAATTCCAAAATACTTTGTTCAAATGTTAATATATGTATTAATTAAGATCTCACAAAAGATATTAGGATAACTGACAAAAACTTAAGAACATATGAATTGCGAAAATGAAACTTTCAGGTAATATTTGATGCAAAAAATGTTTATTTGAATATAACACATTGATGACAGTATAAAAAATGTTTGAGAAGACAGTGTAATGTTGACATATCTTTGTCAAGTATTGCAGAAGGAGCACTCTGTAAACTTCAAATATTACTAATTATCTTTTGTATTATCAACTTACAAATTCCTTGGAAGATCCTTGCTATATTTTAGAATAAAAAAAGTACATTCTATAAATATGAGTTATTTGTGACTCATAGTTGGAAAGTCAGTAAGAAGACCAAGAACTAAGCCTAAAATGAAAATTTGACTTCTGTAAAACGGAGATTTTTTTTTGTAGTATTATAAACTGTAGTGTGGTAAATAAGTACATTGAAATATTTTGAAATAGCATAAATATAGCTGGTTTCAAAGAAACAATAGAATAATAAACTGATCCTAAATGAGAACGATTGTGGTGAGATGGTGGTGAAAAGACTGTTAAGAAGTGCATTGAATATACTTTTATTGGCTGAGAAAGCTTCTGTTTTAAATTCACAACAAAACCTCGTAAGTGTTAGAGAAGGAACCATTAGGATTCTTCACAGAATTCTCTATTAACTTTATGGACACATTGTAGAGAAGACTTAACTTGTTTTTAACAAGGCTTATTATTTTTACAAAAAAGCTGCATTAAATGATGTTTTCAGTGGTTTTGGGATCTAATAGTTAGACAATTGAGGATATCTATAAGACTAATTACCAGGCAATGATATTAGAAGTCTGTATATAAATGTAGTCATATTATATGTTACTAATAATTTTTAAAGTGAACATAAATTCAATTTTTATAGACAGAATATTGCAGATATTTAACAAACCATTTATACTTGTTTTAAAAAAATCACTTGTAAAGGAGCTGCTACGTTCTAAATTAGACAAAAGCGCATGAAGGTTCAATATTAATTCATTCATCAAGGCAATAAATAACTCATTCAATTATGGGATTAAATTTTTTCCAATTTCCTAATAATTTCAAATATGAATTATTATTCCATATATGCATTTTTATTCTAAATCTAGTTTAACACATGATTCTAAAGAGACATACATAAAATTAAATTACATTTAACTTTGTATGTTGTCACCAACTCAAATATTCAAAAATGTATTTCTTATTAAATAAAGAAAATATGAAAGATAATGAGTAAAATTAGAGTATCTAGAAAGAAAAAGTACTTCAATATATTTTTATGATCTCAACTAAAATAGAAGTAAACCTAAGTCCCAATTGTCAGGAAACAGATTTCTTATTGGTTCACTTTTAAATAATTTTAGACCTATTTATCTGTAAAATGTTAACAAATTTTATAAATATTTATAGAACTCACTTCAGACTAGAATTTTTTATTCTGTTCGTGTATGGAATGTTATAAATATATATCATTCTGTATTTATATAGTATAAAGTTTAGTTATTAGGACTCTTACCTGGTTTAGAATTATTTATTAAAATATTTGATATCTCATGTTTTAATTTGTGCATTTTGTACCTGTAGACTGTGAGTGGCTGTTTTGTGTTCCCCTGGAGTCCTGCAGGCTAGCTATACCTCTGATCCACATATTTTATTTTCCAATTGTTTTTAATCATTTAATTACATTTATGTTGTGGGAAATCTGCTGACAACACATAACAGGTTCTAGAAGTAAATTTAAAAAATGAGACTTAAACATAATGAAAGACATTTTTTTGTGAAGTTTGAAATTCATGAGAAGCTAAATTTTGTTTATTATATTGTATGTAATGGGTTGAGAAAGTTTTTCTACTGTGAGTATTTTTCATTCTGAGAACTATAACATAAAATAATGCATTTTTTAAAATGTAAATGCATTAAATTCAGTGAGTGATTTGTAAACCTTGTTATCAATCAATTCAATTAATTTCCTGACATTCTCGTCATTTAAATAATTAAAGTTCTTGCTAAGATATCATAAGTTATGAAGAATTATCTACTTAATGTTTGTTGACAGAAATTGAAATAATTTTTTGGCTGTTTCATGTAAGTTTTTAAGTATATCAACATTTATTAAAGTAACATTTACTTGGGTTGGACAATTTAGAAAACATTCCTTAATTTATTTGTGTGTTTATTTTACTTTTCTCTTTCATTAGTTCCTTGAGGACTTTCTGATTTTTTGTTCTATCATAGATAATGGTGAAAATTTAATTTTCTGGTTTTTGTGATATATATGTAATATTTAAGTGGAATATTTTAGGTAAAGATAAGGGTTTGAAAGCAGATGAACTGGAGAAGAAGGAATTATTTTGTTGAAAGTGCGCCCAACATTATCACATGAAAATGTAGATAATTCGGAAGGTGAAAATTGAATTATTTCAAATGTGTTACAGGTTAAACAGTCCTTTAGCACAGTAGTTATGACACAGCAAGTCACATTTCTGTTGACCTCAAGAATTTTTCACATTATTTTGAAATTATGCTCCTAATTGTCTCTCATTTGTGCAGTGAGAGTGCCGCAAAATACTTTATAAACTTAATTCTATTTCATTATTCATATTAAAAATAAACATTTCCTTTATATGTGTTGTTCAGTGATGTATCAATACTGGTCATCTCATAAACAATCAGAGAAAGGCTTCAGCCTGCAGGACCACAGTTAATGTAGTTGGTGTTTTAAGAGCCGGAAGTAACGACTGTGCTTGTCATTCTGTCCCCAGTGCCCTGGCCACTCAGATGTACTGTGCAGCACAGCTTGCAACACAACATCAAGCCATGTACGTCACCCTGTCACTCTCGCCTCCTTCTGGTTTTTGAGTTTTCACCCCTGGCACTGCTGCAGAGCACAGCTGTGCACTGCAGTTGTACCTTGATATCTTTTTGCAAGTCTTGCTCAGAGCAATTAGCCCTTTAGTTTATTTCATTTGGAATGCCTTTTTTTCTTTCATCTGATACTTATTTATTCTGATAGTGTAGATTTTTATCCCGTTAATTCAAAATTTCTTATCTATAACACTAAAAACTGAAAAATTAACACTTTCAATCTTCATGATTTTTACTAATATAATTAACAATTTTTAATTTTAATTTTGATTTGTCAGTGAGCCAGGGCATTGGCAGTTTTTATGATTTCTGCAGGGTTGTCAACAATGTGTATTAAAACATTGTGCTGATGGAGCCTGAATTATAATACAGATGATTGTATTCTTGTGTGATGTTTTCTGTCACATACTAGGTGCAGTGCGTGTGAGCAGCCTAGAAAAATGACACACAGTTGGCAACCCTCATCTTCTCTTTGCATGAATACATTTTAGAGAATTTATCCCTAGTACTTTCAAAATTTTATTTGTAGGAAATTTGTCTGTGCCAGATTAATATTAAAATTAAAATTTAAACTTAGGTAAATTTGGGAACGAATAAGTACTAAGGATGGAGTTCCTTTGGAATACTATTTTCTTATTTTTTATTGTTTTGCTCTTTCAAATTTGGAAATAAGCATGAACATAGCATGCTTGGTGAGTAAGGTCAGCATGTCCTTCTCACACAATCCTGGCTTACTGACATGAACAAAAGCCTTAAGACAATGCATTAACACGGGAATGTTTGTTCGAAATCCTTTCAATTATTTAAGAAAGGTTGTTAGGCATCTCAAAAAAAATTTTAAAATTGTCTTTTATACAGAATGCCCGAGGTAGAAAGTACCATGTTTTGAAATAAATCTGCACTGTGATTCATGAAAATGTCATGACTGTGATAGAATGGTTACATCCAATAATCCCCATTTACGCATTAAGTAAAAACTTCTTCATTTAAATTTGATATGTTCAATACATATGAAAATTTATTTCATTATGGTCTTCAAAACTTTTGTATTTATAGTATTTTACATGAAACTTACTTTTTTTTTTTTTTTTTTCCTTCTGCTATTCGTTTTTATGATTAAGAGAAATGATCTTACTTCATTATTTTTTTTACAAAACGATATGTTAGTCAAAAAATATGAATAACGGTTACCTATAAAGGAATCATTGCGATCTAGTTTAATTTTATTTTTCACTGAGAAGTTTATTACTTTGGCAATTATAGTTTATGCAACTCAAGTGAATTAGCAAGTACTGTAATATTATGAATGTCATTATTCTCAAAGTTGCAGACTTGATAATATATGTTAAAGTTGCATTAGAAATTTCTGAACCAATGATATTTAATTCAGTGCTACATTTAAAACATGATAAATTAAATAAAGATAGAAATGCATTTGTTAATTTTTTTCTCAAAGGTACTTTTGGAAATAGTTTAATTTGAATTAATTTTTGTAACTAGCTTCAAAAGCATAGTATTACAGAGTTGATTACTTGTAATATCTTCAGGATAACTGAACGTAAATAGTGAATTAAATATTATATCAATTATATTCAAGCGAATTACACAAAATTCATTTACTTTTTCATAAAGCTTTAAAGTAAACACAACTTACATCATTTTCAATTCTTGCCAGTAAATTTCCAATTTTTATAAATATTCTTTGTTCATACATCTGATACATTTTTAACCAAGTTATGTCCATTCTCAAAATACAAAATTCACAATGGTGCAGAGGTTTTCGCCTAGGCTTTCTGTTTACAATCAATAGTATTATGACATCCTATTTTTGCTGTAGTAGTAACTATTTAAAATCTTTACTTTTATTTTGCTTTTTGGAGATTTTGAAAATTAATAAACCCACATGAACTTTAATTTCTGAAATATGCATAATGGTTTATTTACAGGTTTGAAAAACTGGATATTACTCCAAAAAGTGCACAGAAGATAAAGCCAGTTCTAGAAATGTGGATGAAAGAAGCTGAAGAGAGGTGAGCATTTAAGAGAACCCATTTTTATCATTAAAGTTAATATACACAATGATGTGTGTGTGTTTTATTTTTATATTTTTAACTCTTTTAAAGTAGTCAGATTATTAGGTGTAGTTCAGGTCATTTATAAAACCTGCATCAAAAGTAGTTATGTGTTAAACTATTATATACTATCATATAAACCGTTAATTCATTTAAATGAAAATGTTTCAAAATACATGAAATAATAATTGTTTAAAGATTACCCTAATTCCCTGATCAATATATTTCATTTGGGAGATTACTATCTTCTGCAACTGGCAGATATAACTAACTGGGCTAAAGGGGTCAGAGTAAAATTGTATATTATCTTCTATTTTAAGAGAAAATCAAGGCAGATTATATTTGTAAACACACCTAATATTTTTGACAAAAAATAATTACTATTCCAAACCCACAAATGTGATATTTTCTATGTAATGCTACATTTTGCTACATTTTGAACTCTAAAAGGGGTTGAGATCTTATGGAATTACAATTCAAAAATCAACCAAATACACGTGAATTGATGACACCAAATCTCATTTATGAAATTACACATGTACTATATTATCTTATAATTTAATGTTCCTGACCTATTGTGCTATTGCATCGCTGGTAATGTGTGCAGCCCTGATGATTGCAGATACAAGAGTGGGCAGAACCATCTGACAGAGTTCATTGGAGTTGAACCGTCCAAAAAACGCAAGCGTCGTACCTCATTCACACCTCAAGCTTTGGAACTTCTAAATGCACATTTTGAACGCAACACTCACCCATCAGGTAGGAAAATCATTTCAAGTTTTCATAGTATGATTATGAAAACAATTGCTTTGTTGCTTAGTAATGTGAAGGCTTTGCGATCAAGTTTTTCAGGACAAGATTACACCAATATTTGTTTGATTTTTTAAATTATCTACATTAACATTTTTCAACACAAATTTCAAAGGTTATGCTCATTTTAAAATTAGGAATTTTTCATACATCTATTTTAAATATGGTTTGGAAATGGTAGATTATAACTATTTTAAGAATGTTTTTATTTATTTGCGTCACAAGAACTATTTTGTTCATTTGGAGTTATTTTCTATAAAATAATTTATTCAATGTGAAATTGCTGTATTTCACTTTCTTGTTTTTACTGTAATGTAATATTTCTTCCAAAGACTTCTATGGAGCAGCATCTGAGACATTTCAGCCCTTCAGTTTGTAAACAACTCTCTTGTTTCTTCAAGTTATGATAAAACACATACATTTAAAAAAAAAGAGAAATGGTTAGGTGGATAAATAGACATTTTTAATTATTATGCATTCTTAGATTATATGTATTTTGAATCGTTTAGTATAAGGGCTCAGATTCTGATGACGAATCATCTTTTCATTGGTGCATTCTAGATGCAGTTTACTTGTAAATTAATGTTTATCCTGACATATAGGTGATAGAAATGTATATATATTGGTTAATTTATTGTCATTTTTTAACATTTTTCAATTTTTAGGTCTTTTTATTTTGCCCCACTTTTGTTACTTTTATGCATTTTGTTTCCTTTTTGTTTTTTGTTAGTGAATGTTTCATGAATTTACAATGATATGTCAAACCATTTTATTGTATCATCAGTTTATAACAATATTCACTACTGTAGGGAACTCTTTATTTTTTAATTACATAGATCTTTGGTGCTTTTCTCAGCCTGTCAAAACTGATGGTTGAAAGATCAGAGATAAAGATGACATTTTCTCCTAAAATAAAGACTTTACATGAAACATAATTTTAAATAAGTAAATTTTATTTAAAATTGTAAATTTCATTGAATAAATAAACATTTTCATACAAATTTTTGAGAATTTTTAAAAAAATAAGGTAATTTTCCCCATACTTCTAAGTCATTTTGTAGAAAATTTTCAAAGAAGTTTTAGGTTATCAAAATCTGAGCCCTGTGTATTAAAATAATAATTATAATAATTAATATTATTTTTGATATTTATTATTATTATTATTATTATTATTATTATTATTATTATTATTATTATTATTATTGTTGTTGTTGTTGTTGTTGTTGTTGTCTGCAAAACTGGATTAATATCTTAAGAGACTCTAAACAAAGAGAGCCCTGAGAACATTTGAAATATTGAATACTTGTAATCAACATAAATATTGAAATAAAGTATAATTTTTGCAATGAAAAAATATAATAAAATATGTATGTATTAATATTATTAATACAAATCAATAAAACATTTAAAAAGATACTGGACTCCTTTCTAGAGGGGCCAAAAGAAATAAGTTTAGTCTCAATATGCATTAATCCATCCCTGATTGTGAATATTTTTGTAGTATTTTGAAATACTTTTAATAATATTTTTCTTTTAGGTACTGAAATCACTGCTCTTGCGCATCAGTTGGGCTATGAAAGAGAAGTCATTCGTATCTGGTTCTGCAATAAACGTCAAGCTCTGAAAAATACTGTCAGAATGATGTCAAAGGGAGTTGCATAAATGTGCTTCATTGAATGTGACTAGTTTTCTTAGGCTTTTTAAAAATATGAACTTGAGAGCATCATGAGAACTTCTTTTTCTGTGAGATATAACTTTATAGACAAAGACAAATATTCTTGTGTGAAAAAGGTGAAGAAGAACTGCTAACTCTAACTTGTTCAGATTTCAAATTTATTATTCTTTTTGTGGATATAAATAAAAAGATCTCTTGAACTGGATTGCTGAAAGAGTGCCATAAATGAAGACAGTTTACTCACTGGTTTGGTGTTTCAATCTGAACTGTTGCCATATAGTTGAAATGCAGAAAAGCATTTAGTTCTGAATGTTTAAAAACGTTAAGAACTTTTGGTGTTTGCCTCTTGAGTGAATGTGTGTCGGAACCATTGTGCAAAAGAAACCAAAGAGTTTTAACTGCAATTGACACTGTGAATGCATTGTGATCTGTACATATAAACTAGTTTTTGTGTGAGTGTGCAGCCTGCATTGGAAAAATATTACCCAAGAATTTGTGTTTGTGACTAAATCATGTAATAACAGGAATTTCTCAGTGACTGATAATGACCATGCTAGAATTTGTGATGTGTAGGATGGCAATGTACAGAGTTCATAATAGATGCAAGATTTCTATTAGCTTGAGACCTGTAGCAGACTTCTGCTTAATGTGAGTGGAAGAGATTGTGATAGTATATTGTTATGAGATGATAATTTTAAAAATGCTTTTGGACTTCTACTGCTGTCACTTGCAAATTATTACACTGTTCAGTGAGAATCCCTTCTAATCTCAAGTTCTTTCTCTTCATGTCTCTCTGACATTGATTGGAATCATTCTACTGTGTAATAAATCCTGTATATATTTGAAGGGATAAGTTTTAGAAAATCTATCTCATGAAGAATCTGTTGTTTAAACATCCCTTTCAGGCTGTTGATATAAGAGAATGCATTTAAATTATATTACCATTATACACATCCAGGAATAATATTTGAAGACCAACAAATGGTGTTATTTATTGAACAAACTTAAAGATAGTGTTTATGTTCTTGTTGTTAGATCATCCTATGTAGTAAAGTTGACCCTGGCTTTGCCTTCTGATCACCTGTACATTTTCCTCAGTACTGCCAGTGTTGAGTATGACTTATTATGATGTATTACAAGGATTAATCACACATGATGTGAGATCAGTAGTGTAGTTGTTGCTGTTAGATACCTACAATGCTTCATAAATATTTTTCACATAAAAAACTGAGAAGGTTTATTTTGTCAAACCAGAATGCAAAGGATGTTGAGATCTGAGACAGTGGTGTGCTGGTATGACATTATTGTAACAATAGTTATTAGAATCATTTATCTGAAATGTTAATTCTCCTTGGTTTTCATAGTAACCAAGAAGAAAATGCAGTTTGCAACTACTCAACACTGTGGCTTGTTGCAGCATATCAACTGTACTGTAAAATTTGACCGAAACAAAATTGTTCCTTGCAGTAGACTCCGCATGAGAGGTGCCAACAACATATTTAGCCTATACTAATTTTATTTTGATGTAATCTAATTGCAAATTAACAAAGCAAGATCAACTTATCAAGCTGAGTTCTTGCTTCTTCAATATGTCTTGAGGAAATTTATCCAACAAGAGACAAGAAAACATTTCATAATTTGTTATTTTAGAGTTAACTATAATTGCAGAATTCCCTTAATAAGCTGCATTTGGCTTAATACAAATTAAAAAACAGTTTGGTAGAAATTAAGAAAGAAAAGTCTGCAGGACTAAAATGAGAGATCAAGTTGAACTTTTAGGGACTGTACCAACTATTGAATTCTTTACTTTGCTTTTAAATACAAATGAGTGTTATGCAAAGCAAAAAATGGATCTTATTGCGTAACTAAGTTTTCATGTTTAAATCAAACTAATTGTCTCTTTGAATATTTACCATTTGAAGGTGAAACATGTTATGTTACTATGTTTTATGTATTTTTGTAATATTTAATTTTGGGAATTCTTCGTTATTGTATGTGTCCCATCTATTCTACATGTCTGACTTTCGACAGAAATTGTACTTGAACCAGTCAAAAGCAGTCCTCTGAAAAAGACCTGAACTTCATAGTAATTTAAGAATTGTATAGACCTATTTTGAAAATGATGGTTCTATCTGAAAATTGCATGTAGCTTGAAGATGTTGTATAGATACTGTAAAATAACAACAAAAGAAAGTTTAAATGATGGATGATTGTTTAGAATTCAAATATTAAACTTTGTGTTTACTATCACAGTAGGACTTGATTTATACATTATTTTTTTATATAATGATAAATATTTTAACTAAATTGAAAAAAGATAGTACTGCAGGGTCATTTTAAAATGTAATGTTCTTGCTATTGTTGTTTGGCAACCCTTACTGTGGCACATGTGGTTGGCATTTTTACTGGAACTTGAAATGTTTCTTCTAGTTTTCCTAGTTGTACCGCTTCAGTGTTGTTTTCATAACTTATGTTCTGAGTAAGAACGCAAATGAGAAATGTGAATCACACATTTCGATTGTTACTTCATGACAAATTTGAGGAGTGAGCAAGTTGTCAAATGATGTTAAAATATCATTGTGAAAATAAATGATGTTGTCAGAATTTGATTAAAATGTAGATTGTGGAGCAAAATGAGGAAAGAAATTTGAATCTGTTGTTGAAATATAAATTCTTCCAAGAGTTCATAAGGTTATGAAAGCAATGTATTTACTGTAACATTAGATTTTTAAATATGGAGAATATTTAAAAGGAAATATTCTCATATTGAAACCAAAGTTCCTATTAAATTTTTATAACAAATATATGGTAAATGTATGTGTGAATAAGAGTATACATATGAAAAAGTATATATATATAAAACATATATATATTTCATAAACATTTAAAGAAATAATAAGGATTTTCTGCTATAAGGTAGAGTAATGTAGTTAATTGTGTGTATAAAGAAGTTTTAAGAAGCAATTATATGTAATACCATGTAAATTAGGTGTCATACAAATAAATCATTACTATGTAGACTGACGTAACAACCAATATGAATAGGCCTCATAATGCAAACGTTTAGTGTGCACAATTGGATTAAACACTTTGTAATGCATATATTTACTTCTGTCAGAACATTATTAACCATAAAAAATGCTTTCAGTATTAGAAAAGTTGAAAAGTGTAGTAGATTTCACAACTCATAATTATTTTGATGACTGACTCCTAGTTATTCATTATTTTAAATACTAAGAATCTCAGTGGTATCAAGCTGCATAAATATTTCATGTGTATTTAATTTTTTCTGATTTATTTTCTCTCTCTCTCTCTCTCTCTCTCTCTCTCTCTCTCTCTCTCTCTCTCTTTTTTTTTTTATTCATTACATTATTTTATAAGAAATACATTTTTCAAAATATCAGTAAGGGCAAGTTTTAAATTCTAGAATAGTCTCATACAAAAAAATAATTAGTCCTATCATAAGTAGGTATTAATAAACTTCATTGTAAATTCTTGAAGCAGAGAATTTCAATTTTTGAGTGGCTTCAGACCAAAATGGAATTTCATTTAGTATAAAGGATAATAAAAGTAATCTGCTAATTAATGCAATATCTCCTCCAAAATTTTAATTTGGTGTTGGCTGTACGGTATGAAATTATAAATTTGAACATCATTGTCTCAGTCTATGTTCGCATTTTCAGAGAGTAGAGAAGATACATTTTAAAGATAAACCCTAGTAAATCAATGAAGTAACATTTTAGTGAACATTACTGAATTCATTTCATACTACAATAAAAAGAGATTAACTGTTCATGATAGTGAGTGCAATCACATTCATGTCTGTACACTCCTTATTATGTGGATAACTAGTTTCAGAAAGTCCAAAAGAATCAATACTTTGAGAAACAATCCATGTTTGCCTATAAGACAAAAGTTCTAGCAGGTATTGAAAAGTGAGAGTGGATAAAACCTTGAGATCATCTAACACATCAGCTGAGTACGTAGGGATGCACAGACAAAATAAGTGAAGGGGGAGGAGAACTAAAATTCTGGGCCCCCTTTTCCTCTGAACTTTATTTACTCCAACATATTTTACTAGTAAATCAGTAAAACATACAAGGAGAATTAAATGATAAGTTTAATGATACAGTTAATATATACAATTGATTTTCTGTTAAGCCATTTTCATGGTGACTAGATGGCATGGAAAGCCTCTTCCCCCAAATGTCATATAGCAATTTGCCAAGTTGTCAGAAAGAGGAGAAATCAGGGATTGAGCATTTTTATAAGAGAAAATTTTTATTACCTAAGGCCATAGGGTTCCTTTCGAAGTGTTCTGTGGCCATCCCCTCCCCCCTACTCTCCCAGTTCCGTCTACGGCGGAGTAACACTCTTTACGATTTGGCCCCTCAAAAAGCTGCTAAGCATACAGCTTGGACTACAATTCTGGGCCTCTGACTGATTGTTACAAAAGATTGATTAAGATTACATTTCATTCTATTTTCGTCAAGGTTTTCTGAAATTTCTTTTCTTCTTTTTTTTCGTAGATAATATCGGGAATGTTTAGGAATATATCTTCAGTTTCCAAAGGTCAAGAGGTATTTTTTTCACATAAATACAGTAAAAATTATTGAAAACTAGTTATGTAACACTATAGTATACAATAAATCTCAAAACATTTTTAATGAATAATATTGTTAACAATGCCAACTTTTAAGTGTCACAATCCCAGCAGCCATTAACTAGAAAGGTGTGCGGTGTTAAAACGAAATTTAAATTGCATCCAACCAAAACCTACGCAGTAGTAGGGAGTCCTAGTACTGTAGGGACTATATATGTATACACATTACACATAACTACACACATGTGTATATATATATATATATATATATATATATATATATATATATATATATATATATATATATACTCACACAAGATTTTCTAGTGCATTACCGGACCGGGTAGAAATGCAGTTTGTGATACGATTCGTTCCTGTGCGCTGCCGAGTCCGAGAGAATGGGTCACGAGCGGCGCGGCCACAGTGCGGCTGATGAACTTCCCTGTGGAAAGTGATGCTTCGCTACGCAGTTCCAAGTTCAGGAGGAAGCTCGGGCCTTCGGTCCTCAAGGTAATGTAAAACATCCTGGAGTCTGTCTCAGAGGCGGCTCGTGAACAAAGGTTCAGCAACGTGTGAAGGGGGTAACTTTTCACTTGCTTGATTAGCTGAAACGTTCAACTGATGTTATTGTAGGAATAATTTCGGAAATAGAGTAGGAGGGCGATGACAGGGGTTAGAAATGAGTGGGTTTTGAAAAGAACACAGTAGGTGAGATACGTAACTGTAAGCAATATTCTATCATTATCTAGTGTCTGGGAGATATTGAAGAAAAATTTGAAATGGGAGTCTGTTTCTTAGGTGGGAAAGTTGGGTGTGATCAGTTCCTATTTCGTAAGACTGCTCCTTCTACGTGATCTAAAGTAATGTAGACATTATGTGACAGTTTTGTAATAAAGAAAGTAATTGGTTGTTGCAACGTCGTTGTGGAAAGTCGTTTTGCTGACAAACCAGAGGGAATTTACTGTTATTCTTAAGATTTTGTTTCGAAAGATTTGTAATCTAATGTGGTTGGGCAGCTGAAATCCATAAAGGACATGCGTAAACTAATATTGGACGAAGACTAGATTTGTGTATGTTTAAATAGGAATGGATTTTAAAGGAAGAGTTGCAATTGAGAATCGGACGTAAAATAATCATGTCGCTAAGCAAATCATATAATGGCTTCATTTACTTCGGATGAGATGTGACTATGTCAAGTTAATCTTGTGTCCACGAGAACGCCGAGATAACGAATAGATGAATTTAGTGAAGACCAAGGGATGATAGAAGAGAGGTAAAACAGATAATTGAAGAGCGTCGGATCCCGGGAAGGGGGCATGAGGGCCATGTCCCACCTCTATCTAATTTTTTTGTAATTTTATTAAATATATTCAAAATAATTGTCTCGCTGATATCATTACATTCAAAGCCTTATTTCCATGAAGCATGCGATTTTAAGATTTTTTTTCGGATATCAAGATTTTTACGTAATAAAACCCATAAAGGCGTGATTTCAAGTTATTCAGGCCGATCCGGTGGCCGAGATCGCTAAGGCAGTAGTGCCGTAGCGAACTCGGACCGAAGGATCGCGGTTCGAGCCCCGCCTCGGGCATGGTTGTGTTGTGTTTCGTCCTTTCACCCCCTATCATCATCATTATCGTGTCAACCCACAGTTACCATACGGTTACAAGCAATAGTGGTCGCTAATGACCTAGTAGTTGATGCGACCTTAAATAAAATTTAAAAAAAAAGAAAAAGTTATTCAGATTCTGAAAAAGTGTTGGGAGAGTGTATTGCACTGTTGAGGGGTCCAATTTATAATGTAATGATTACAATAATAATAATAATAATAATAATAATAATAATAATAATAATAATAATAATAATAATAATAATCATCTCGATGTTCCAAACACATGCTCCAAGTGGTACGAACACTCACCAAAACCGGTGACGTCTGTTGGACTGAGTACAATTCTGAACGAACAACAAATTCGAACTAATTGCACGATAGCGGCAAACGAACTGAATGTTGTGAACCGGGGTTTGGAAAAAAAATCATATCTACTCGTAGATGTTTCTGTGCAGTGCGATCAAAACGTCATAACCAAGAAGGCAGAGAAATGTCTTACATATAAGAGATCAGCGGAATGTAGGGCGCAAACCCACAGGTCGTACGGATAGTTATCGGAATCCTGGAATTTGTTCTGCAAACTTTATTTAAGAACTTTCTAAACGTCAACCATTCAAAAGACTGAGAAGCAAGACATTGTTTTATTGGGAAGAGCCCACATTAAAGTATTGTAAAGGCACCGACAGTTCCTAGATGTACTCCTTAGAAAGCTGGTTGTAACGTGGGGTACATTTTATATTCAACAGATTCATCTTTAGTCGTGAAATAGGAATAATAATATTGAAAATGACTTTATTTACGTGGCAATACTCGGGCTACCAGGTCCATTGTTCCGACTAACCAGATAATACAAAAATGTACGGGTAAAAAAATTTCAGATTGAAGCTCTCATTCTTATTGTTTAAATACTTTTTCTTAATTGTTCACCTGTAATAAAAAAATGTACGAGTAAATAAATAAATGAATATTGAGAAAATGAGAAAAAAGGTTATCGTTGGGGGAGGGCAGGGGGGGGGGAGCATTACCCTCGTCCTTCCTTTACCATATTCGCCACTGAATGTCAATGAGAGCTGATTTACATTTGAGGTCGTATGTGTAAAGCTTCCACCACCATGTGCATCACGTAACAGAAATTACTGTTTTTAAGTTAAAGAAAAGTATTATGTAAAATGTTTCCAGCAGTTTTAAAGTCATCACTTAGACGACGGTTTCCACCAAGCACATATTATTTAATCTTTCATTTTAGTGTTTTCTCAGAAAGAAATGGGAATCCATTTTCCTTAAGTCAAAACTTGTGACAAGTTCTGATAAATTAGAGCACAAGCTGTAAGTAGTATGCTACGAGTATTCTTTCCTTATCATTTTTAAGAGAACGTACAAAATTCCATGGTTTTTACAGAGTGCTTATAAAAGCAATTATACAGACTCTCTTTTGTTCTTTCTTTTGCCCTCTAACATCCGCAGTTCCCATGAGTATTTTCCCGCGTGATGACATCCATGAAAATAAAATTTTGTGTTTCATTATTTCATTATTCTGACACCAAGAAATACAACTAATATTCAGTTGCGTGTGAGTCGACAGCGCACTTCAGAAATAAATACGAATCGCCAGTCATAATGCAACTGTGATAAAAAAAATATCTGAAATAAATGTTAGACCACATTTTCTAACAGATTTGAGACCTCCATTTCAACGTCCTTTATTTTTTGAACTTGAAAACTGAAAATACAAACTAAAAAAGTTCCTGCTATATCAATAGCTTGGTCTCCCACAAAATAAGAATAATGAACGTAGGTACGCTTAAGGTTTCCTGCGAGCACACGACATCATTTCAAAGGACTTTCGCCGGCCAAAAATTCTTAAGTTTGGTGTTTGAAAGACGTGTAAAGAACCTTAAAATGTTGTCCAACAAAGCAGAAATATTTCTTTCGGATCACACTATAGGTTGTTACTAATAACATGGGTATTTTGTTTATTCGCAGTGATCGAAAATAACTGTTCCGGTCTGTATAAGGTCTAATGTAGTAAGTACCAATGTTGTAAGAAGTTGATATTGTTTTCAGGAATCAATACTAGAAAGGCATTTGTCAGATTCATACCAGAAGTGAAAAATATGGTCAAGCATTGAATTCTTTCAAAACTTTTACAATTAGCATTGAATTCTTCCAAAACTTTGCCAAATTGTACAAAATCTTGTTATGAAGAAGAGCTAGCCGACCTGTAATTATACTGTTTCGAAAAAGAAATATCAAAATTGTCTCTCATTTGAGGGGTTTTCGAATTTCTTTTACTTGATTTCTAAGATAAAATATTTTGTTTTTCTGCTGTCAAGCCCTTGTGAACGAAGTCGAGAAAGTTTGGATTTTATACATTCGCAGCTCTTTAATCGATCCATTGCGAGAAACGTTTGGCCGCTGCCATCTAGAAACACTTTCTGTAACTAAAAGGTTATTTGAAATGTATGAGTTTATGAACGTTCCAGAAGATGTCATATAAGTCTCTGATGGATTCAGAATTTTTTAAACTGCCCCTGCTTGAAAACAAAAAGGATCTAGATGCAAAACTCTACAACTGACACTACAAGTATTTTTTCAGAAGACACAAAAACTTGATTTCTTTTAGATCGAACAGTTGAAACTGTTTTTAAGATAATCGCAATTGTAAACTATTAAGTTATTTTATATTTTTTCAATCAAGTCTAATGTTTTGTGTTTCGTTGTTGAAATATTGTAAATGACGGAATTTGCTACTAATCTGTGGAAAGGTTTGATTTTGCACCAAGCGTTTGTCTAATCAACTGAGTACGACAATAAACTATATTTCTTTGTGCAAATTCGTTGTTGTTAGTTACTATTTGTTGTACCAAACTTTTTTGTGCTTGATGACTTGTGAGTCACTTGATGACGCCGGTACGGTCTCCTAGTGACACGCAATAGCAGCAGCTTTTCCTGCGACATAATCTTCCATTATTCTCATCAACTCGGAGTTAATAAACGAAGGGAATAGAGCGTGGCATCAGCTGAGTGCTTCTGCCATGCGTATATGACACATAATATCAAAAGGTAATATCATTATCCAGACAGTATACTTAACGGACTGGAAAGTATAAAAACTACAGAATTGAAATCGGTATTTTCTTCACATTGCACACATGACGAGAGTAAGAGAAATGCGCTGCAGTTCTGACCCTGGCAAGACTAGGCTGCCAAGCACAAAGAAGGAAGGTACAAGGTATAAATAATTGAGGATCGCAGCTGCAATGGGGAACGCGACACGTTTTGTCGTGCTGCAGACGGGAGTGGGCTCTAAGAGTACAGTAATGACGTATCCAAATACACAATTCACGCATTACAAATCGTATACATTGAACTTTTCTTACAGTTACAGGGTGTCCGTAATAATCGCGATCCCTCTCCATTTGTGGTGGGTCTCTTTGTTTCGACAGATTTGTCTGGTTAGTATTGTTACACCGGATGCGAGGCTAACATTTAGGCTACATTCTATGTAGGCCACAAATACTAAATATGGCCAAATTTTATTTAGCAACGATTGCGTCACGCGTGTTGCAATACACGGCTTTGCCGCACGCGACATATGTCTGGTCGAGGAATGGTTTCTTTCCTTTATACAACCATACTAAGGCAGGGTTCCTGGTTGCAAAGATGTGAGTAATATTTGTCAAATGTATTTGTTGAGGCTGCGAAATATTGCTTAGATGATTCGGTGAGCATTTGCAGAAACTACACTAAGAAGTTCTGCCCAACGCCTTTCTGTGTTCTCGTCAGAAGAGGTGTCTCTAAAAAGACGACACGTAATCGGCACGATTAACACCTTGGCGTAAGAGTCATTAAGTATTTAATAGGTTGTCAGTATTACCTGGTTCTGGCGACGGCATTC